AGATAGTTAAATCCTCCTGTGAACAACTACACACCTAGTAAGAACAGTAAGTGCCTTGCAATGGGATCTTATGTATGAGATACTAACTTCAACACTTTTCTATATTCTTTCCTCCAATCCTTACATCCAGTTCATTGATGTACTGTCACCAGTTAATGAATAAGTGTTCCTTTGAAGATAACAATAAGCGGACAACTTAAACTAAAGAAACTAAGAAAATTAACAACATGGTGTGCACGGATTGTTTGGGAGGTACTGAGGCACACACGTGTGGACCAGTATTATGAGCCCTAATCATGCTTCACGATGTTCCTGATCTGCCTGGTCTGGCTTTACACCAAACACCGCCAGGCTCGGGATTCCTAAATCCATTCTCATTTGTTTAAGTTTGTGTTGTGAGACAGGGTCTCACCTTGTAGCTTTGACTGACCTGGAACTCGCTGTGCACACCAGGCTGGTCTGAATCAAAGTAATGTATTCACCTCTTCCTCCCCAGCGCTGGGATTGTGACCTGCTTTCCCGACCTTCACCAAGGAATTTTCTACCTCCTTCTCTGTGGCTCAAGCTGAAGTCTGTGGCAAGCACAAGCACGGTTCCGGAAACGCAGCCCCCTGTGACGGAAGTGACTTTTCTGTTTCCCTCAGTTACAGGGAGTTACTGGGAGGGCTGAGGGCTCAAAGGCTGTCACTACTGCGTTTTCCACTTGGGCTGCACCAAGAGGCCTACTGTAACCCCTCTGAGGAGGCCTGTGCACCCAGGACCCTCGGTATTTCCAGGGATGTCCAGGTAAACCTCCTGGTCCCTGGAAAGGGCCCCTTAATTGATTAAGGCTGAGAAAGCTCTCCAGCTCTGGTTGCAGCTCCCAGACTTCCTCAACTTCCATTCTAGCTCCCTGGGCAGAAGACAGTTGCGCCCCCTGGTGACCAGATGGAATCTTGGCTATCCATGGTTACTCAAATGGTTGTAGTTGCTGCATATCTGTTTACGTATTATTCTTGTGCGTTTGCTTTTAAACAACAAAAAAATCCATCCAGTACCATTTGGATACAAAGCTGTTTTAAGCAGTTAACAGTAGTTCAAAGAAAATGTTAAGTATACAAGGCATAAGATACAGCAAAAATTATGATGGCAAACGGACCTGGTGTTTCATATCTGCAATGCCAGGACATGGGAGATAGGACTGCAAGTCTAAAAAGAAAGAAAAAAAATAAGGTAGAAGGTGGTACTCAAAATCGCAAAATAAATAAATAAAATGTAGGTTTCAAAAGGTCAACAGGGAATCAGTGTGCTCTTTGATTTTATATGTGGACTTGACAGGTGTTTTTAAATGAAATTAACATTTAAACCATTGAAACAGCATAATTCAGACTGTCCTCACATAATGTGAATGAGCCTCACCCCTTCCATTGAAAGCCTGCCTGACCAAAACAAAGGCCCAGCATCCCAGAGCAGGAGGAAATGCTACGCTGCCTGCAAACACCCTGCTGACTTCAGCTGTCTCTGTTACTCCTGAGTCTCCACACTGCTGCAGATCTGGACTTGCCCAAATCACACAAGCCAATTTCTTTATAATAAATCTTTTTGTAGATTCTGTTTTCCTGGAAAATTCTTCTGTAGAAAGAGACTTCAAAAACCCTGCCTCTTTCTTTTTTATGCTTTCAAGTGTGTGTGTGTGTGTGTGTGTGTGTGTGTGTGTATCTTATATAGTGTATATATATCTTATATAGTTATGGAAGTGTAAAATTAAGTAAAGCTCCACAGCCTATTCTAACTGTATAGAAAGTTTACGGTGTCAATATCTAGACTTTGGGTCTGGTTCATTTTGGTGTGTGATGTTTTTATTTATTTGCAAGTTTTTTATAATAAATTTTATAAAATGAAAAACAATTCTTTCTTCTGACATTCAGTGGGCCTCTGAGGATGGAGGGCTTGAGTCTAAAACTCAATGATCTGAAAAGCTAAAGTGTTGTCCTATTTTTTCTTCCCTAGCTTCAGTATTCCCTCCTTCCCTTCATACCAGGTCCCTCAGCTGACAAGTTCTAGAGAATAACTCTTCACTCCTCTTGGACAAGAACAATGTAGAGGAATGGAGCTGGAGCTGTGAATTCTAATCGGGATAGCAGGTGTACTAGTGTAGGCCTTAGAGCTTGTAGCAAAATCTTCATCCTTTCTTGAATTCTGTGCATCTGTATGAAAAGATGGCTCACCAGAGATGAGCATCTCTGGCCCACCCTGGGCCTCTTTCCCTTTCTTTGCCCATAAACATTTAACTTATTTGGTGTACTTTGTAAGATTCATTGGCTGAGCTCTGTCCTGCCTGATTTTGGGACTGGAGAAACCCTCCATGTCACAATTGGAGCCAATTCCATGATTCCCTGGACCTACCCCCACTCCGGGAGGCATGTCATGATTGGGTGGGTAAGACTGCCTAATTCTGTACCTAGAATAAGAAAGCCATAGTTAAGAGACTTATAGCCACTATCTGTTATTTAACTACTGCTATTGTTAAGCATGGCATTTTGGATATGCTGTTTTCTTCCCATTCTACTTTTCTAACAACCTGTTCAGAATAAGATAGGAAAATGAGGCAGTACTGTTTGCTAGAATCCTTTGCAGAACCTCACAATTTGCCCTAGCCCCTTCTAGCAGCTATATTAAATAAGATAAAACATCTAATGATCAAATTCACACTAATGAATTGATTTGGTCCATTACAGGGTGCATGCAGCTTCAAAACACTGAAGAGTCCTGAGAAAGGGCAATGTCACATGAGAAGCACCACACAATTAAACTCCATCAGTGGGAAGTATTTTTCAGGGCCTTCTAATAAAATATATATATATATATATATTTGTCAATCAATCAATAGTTGTTATAAAAAAAGTTGAAGGTAGGACTTAGGACATTTAACTGTCTAGGTTCCAATTGGATCTATGCATGTTACTGGCTGTGACCTTGAGGAAGTTATTTAACCTCACTGGCCTCTGGCTTTCAACTGCAAAAAGATAGCTTGAAAATGCTTGATTAATACCATTACCTGTGTGTTGGGCAGAGCTTTCACCCTACAACCCTAGGGATTTTGCCTCTAGAATTTAAAAAGAAGGAAAAGTTTTATTACCAAGAATATGGGAATAATAAAATTAAATCAAACATGGAGTTCGTACTGGGGAAAGAAATTCATAGCTGATATCAACAGACTGTCCCAAACCCAGGAAACTCTGAAGAATAAATACATGGTAACAAAGCTCACACAGCTCTGTGTATCGTGACATAGGCAGTAATTCCCAGAAATGGCCAGCAGGTGTCGACATTCACTAACCTAGCTGATTAGTGCTGTAGACCAGGCTTCTTATGCAACAAAAGGTATCTACACAATACAATACTTACTGTTAACAATTAAATAACGAGAGAGATAAGCAGCTGCAACCAGTCCATAAAGGGATTATACACGATTCCTTTCGGGAAGGAAGTCTCTTACAATGATTGAGCAAGATGGTATACTATGCTTGAGAAGGTGCAAAGGTTGAAGAGACAGCCGGAGCTTAACGACTTCCTCGTAAAAAAAAAATGTGAAAGAGAGCTTCTTTAAGATTGAGATAAGGGGCCTGGGCAGATTCCTCAGTAGTTAAAAGCACTTGTTGCTCTTACAGAAGACTAAGGCTAGGTTCACAGTGGCTTACATCCATCAGTATAGTAAGTTCCAGGGAATCTGATGTCGTCTTCTAACCTCCAAGGACGCCTTTAATCCCAACACTCAGGAGGCAGAGACAGGCGGATCTCTGTGAGTTGGAGGCCAGCCTGGTCTACAAGGCTACACAGAGAAACCGTGTCTCAAAAAAAAATGTATGTTATTTGATGACATTTTGTAGTGGTCTTCTAAGAAAACACTTGAAAGGCTTTAGTTAGTGCTCACAAGAATGCTAGGGGTGGAAAGGCTATTACGTGAAATAACAATAACCCAAGATAACTTGGGAATTTTAGTTGAAGGTAAACAAAAGGGAGGGATGAAGACATGCCCTCAGATGATGTGTGACAGTCTCATCACGCAGGAGGCGGATTCACCAACAGTCTTTCTTCGCTAGGAGATGTTGAAGGGTTCCAGTAGGCCAGAGCATAGCAAGCTTGGCTCTGGCAGGCCTTGCCCTTCGTTCATTCCCTCTGCCTTGCTAAGCTGTTAGATTACATTTCTAAAGCTAGCCACCAAGCTCTATTCCCCTATTTGGCCACTTCTTCCGTTTGAAGTAGACCACCAAGGTCCAGCTATCAAAGTACTCAAGTCCAACAATCAAAGTTCCCTTTTGGCTACCCTAATTAACATGCCCAACTAAAACAAACCAACTCACGCTAACACAGGCTGTCTCCTCTCCATCCAGAGGCAGTCGTTTGTCCCTCTGGGGAGAGGAAGGGAACAAGAAGTAGGGAGAAAAGAGGAAAGGAGTATTTGTTCTGGAGGGACAAAGGATTGCCTCTGGATGGAGAGGAGACAGATGTGACACATAGACAAAGGGCAGTTTATAAAAGGGGAAACCTCATATGAGGCTGAGATCTTTAATTTTAATTGGGCATGTTAATTGGGTAAGCCAAAGGGGGCTTTGATTGATGGACTTCAATATATTGATAGCTAGACCTAGGTAGTCAGACCCAGGAGGAAGAAGCGGCCAAATAAGGGAATAAACTTTGGAGACTAGCTTCAGAAATGTGACCTAATGGTTTTTAGCAAGGTAGGGAGGATGGGGAAGAAGGGTAAGGCTGGCCACAGTCACGTATGCCACACTCGGACCTGCTGGTATCCCTTCAAGTATCTCCAAAAGGAGAAATATAAATCATCAAAAGTAATGAAAAAAGATGCAAATCTGTGGGAACAAGAGACCTTGGCTGGAGGCCCACTTCCCCATCAGCCTGGAAGCAGGTAGCTGTAACTGACCACAGAGAAAACATGTTTACTAAAAACATGTTTACTAAAAACAATCCGGTGCCCATAAGAAATGTTTTATCAAAATATGTCTGAGAAAGACACCAAAGAAGAAATCCTGAAAGCTTTCAAGCTCTTTGATAATGATGAAACTGGGAAAACATCATTCAAAAATCTGAAGCGTGTGGCAGAGGAGTTAGACGAGAACTTGACTAATGAAGAGCTGCAGGAAATGACTGATGCAGCTGATCGAGATGGAGATGGCGGCGAGGTCAATGAGCAAGAGTTCCTGCGCATCATGAAGAAGACCAGTCTCTATTAACATCAGTGCTTCTTTTTCTACTTGAAGCACATGTGACTAGACTTAGTACCTGCCATTTTGGGAAATATGGCTTTTGAGACCCCCCCCCCCACCTCTGTGGTAACTAGCCATGACCTTGAATCTATTTTTGACTTTTGGAAGTTTCTTTGATATTAAGTTCTTTGTACATTTACCTGCTGACTAATTCAACAGGGCAGAACAAGAGCACATAGTGGGAAAAGGGTCTGAGAGTGTGACTGTAGGGACTCCACTTTCCATTATTTCACATTGCTTGTGCATTTTCACACAGCTGCAAACACACAATAGTTTCTTAGATGTCCATGTATCCATGTCACCATAAGCAGTGGTTGTTCTAAAATTGTTCCAGTTTTTAGTTGACACCAGAGTGCAGTTTTTTCCTCTCATAAAACCCAACGAATGCTTGTTATGACATTTAGATATGTGTTAATTCATTTGTTTTGTTTTAAAAATAAAACTTTTCTTAATTAAAAAAAAGTACATTGATAATCGACTTCACTACTGGAAGTCAGAAGAGTAATCATTTTTTTAAGTGGTGGCAAGGAATCACACTAAAAGAAAACCCTTTTTGCTATTGGTGGTAATGCAAATTAGTCTAGACATTATGGAAATAAGTACAGGTATTCCTTAAAAACCTAAAAATATTTAATCCCAGCACTTGGGAGGCAGAAGCCAGCCTGGTCTACAGAGTGAGTGCCAGGATAGGCTCCAAAGCTACACAGAGAAACCCTGTCTCATAAAACAAAAAAGCAAACAAACAAACAAACAAAAAACTAAAAATAGACCTATCATGACCCAGCTATATCACTTCTGGGTATTATCTCTGTCAACATAGAAATCACAGCTCTCTTCTAAAAGAAATAAGAGATAGTTTATTATAGAGTTGTTTTGAGTGACCATGGTCAGGAACACAGACGTAGGTTACTCCAAATTCTGTGTTTCAATGTGGAAGCAGTTTAATGATGTTTTATAGTTTATCAGAACAAAGAAAGTCATAAATCATGGCAAGTTTAAAATACGTCAGAGCTGGGCGTTGGTGGCGCACACCTTTAATCCCAGCACTCAGGAGGCAGAGGCAGGAGGGTCTCTGTGAGTTTGAGGCCAGCCGGGTCTACAGAGCAAGTTCCAGGACAGCCTCCAAAACAATACAGAGAAACCCTGTCTTGAAAAACCAAAAAAAAAAAAAAAAAAAAAAAAAAAAATCAGACAGGCAATTACAAGAAGATGGGGGAAGATTTTCTGTAAGTCCAAGATGCTATCTGGTGACAGTTTTAGTTTTGGGGGTTGGTAGAAGCTAGCATTTAAGCATTGTGTCAAAACCAAAAGCAAATCTAGAGAGTCTATCTTGTTTAACACTATGCTCCTATCTACCCTGTCTACCTTTGCCTCCTTTATATAAGGTTTTTGTCATGAAGTAAAGGATTTTTTTTAAAGACAGACATAAGTAAAAGGCTAAAGAGTATATCGCCAGAAGATTTAAAAAAGATAAAGGTCCTATTCATATGATTTGTTTTATTACAATTAAAGATTTTAAACTCTATTATTCCTTAGGTAAGAATGAAGCATACTTATATAAAACTAAAATCTAACTTTCTATTTAAAAAAAAATGGCTTCGCATTTACAAAAACTGGCTTATAGAGCAGGAATTTTATTTTATTACCTTATACAATGTGCCATTTAAAGCCTAACAATTAGTTTTTTGGGGGAGGGGGTTTCTCTGTGTAGTCTTGGCTGTCCTGGAACTCACAGAGATTTGCCTCCCTCTACCTCCAGAGTTGAGTGCTGGGATTAAAGACTGGGCCACCACCCCTTACTACCAACACTAGGACTTGTGTGAGGATGAGGCCAGGATAGGGGAGGAGATTCCAGATTAACATATGAAAGGCAAGAGCTAAAGGCTGGAAGTCTAGAGAAAAACAGCCTGTGCACAAAAGTGCTTAGTATGTAAATGATTCCTAAAGATGAAAATGTCCCCCTCCACTTAATCTGTTGGAGTGGGGCCAGGTCTGGCACAATGCCATGCAGATAGGTTTCTCTAATAAACCATCTCCTCTCCTGTAACTAACTAGTCTCTTTACCCTCCAAACTCTAGTCTGTGTCTATAACAAATATAAACAGGTCTCAGTGCTCAGTGTGCATGTCTTCCCATTGGGGTAGGAGAAACAAACACACAATGCCACCACTAACAACAAAAACAAAAATAACAGGAACTAGCCATCACTGGTCATTATTATCCCTTAGTACCCATGGACCCAATTCATCTATAAAAAGACGCAGACTAACAGATTGGATACAAAAACAAAATCCATTCTTCTGCTGCACACAAGAAACACAGCTCAACTACATTTACAAAAACTGTCATCAGGGGAGGACAATACAATAGTCTAATCACAAAGAAAGCATAACTGGGCCTTTTGGAACCTTTCCTTTTTGGGAGACTCTGTGTGGGTGGGGTTTGGAGAGGGAGAGGGAACAGGGCTTCCAGGACCACACAGGGGCATCCAGAGGCTCCAGCTGAACATCTAGGAGAGAAAAAACAATGGTGAATACTTTGTAAATCACAGTCAGGTGGCTGATAAAGTCTTCAGGGTCAGCCATTATCAGGGGCTCTGCAGAGGATAGAGGCCAGAATCTAAGGGAAAAAGTCTGGAATGTTCATTAGTTTGGGGGAAATGACACCACTTAACCAAAATGGAGAAACTTCAATAGAGTTTGTCCTTCCCTGGCCAACAGTGTATTTCATTTAAATCTTGCGACAGTTTGACTTAGCAAAACACCTAAGAATGTGAGGTTTGTTAATTCCGAGAACGGGAGGAGAAAGACCACTGACCAAAATCATCATGGTCAAATTAATCAAAGCAAAGCCAGCAATTAATTAAAGTAAACTTTTAAATTTGTGTGCATAGGCTGCCCCTCACCCCCCAGGCCAGATTGGAGAGGTCAGCATTAGACATGAAGAAGACAAGCTCAGAGGTAGAGGGCTTCCAAATGGGGGATTGATTTGGAGGGCAAAATAGGCAGAGTTACAGGAGTATAACACAAGTATAACAAATTAGTCCCTCTTGAAACAAAGACTTGGTTGCAAGGTGGGCATAACAAAGTAGTTATAACAGCAGATGGTCATAATAAGACAGGTGGTCATATAAACTTTTGAAACAAAGGTAGCGTTACAAGATGGTTACAAACAACTTTTGAAACAAAGACATGATTTCCATTCGTGGAACAGAAAGTTCAGAGCTATTTGTAGTTAAGGCTATAGGTGTTGCATAGCCCTTTCCTTGAGAAACAGGTTTAATCACAAAAGGAATGAACCTAGTTTGTCTTTACTATAGAATGGCTTTAGTTCATCAGCTGAGCACTGGCTTCTTAGGAGAGGCACAGGCTCCTTTCCTGGGGTTAAAACTCTTGCTATCTTAAGTGCAAATACACACCCTTCACAGGAGTAAAACTTCCTGCCCTGCTGACCTACTGACATACTTTGGAGTATAAGGCCGTATCCATGGGTTTCAGACCCATCTCTAACAAGACAAATCTTGAACTGAATTGACAATTGGTACAACTATTGTGAGAACTTTTTTTTTTAATTTCCTATGAAGGTAGTTTGCCTGCCAAGGATCTAAAATCTGCAAATCTCCTTCACTTTGTAAAACTTCTAAGCAAATCTTTTAACCTTTCCCACCCAGTGAAACTTTTGTTTTGACAAAGGTCCCAATGGCCTGTAATAGCAGATCTGTTCTGCCTGTCCTTTGTTTCCTTTGTGATGTTTCGTTTAAAGCTAGAGATCTTAAAAGACTGAAGCTGGACCCAAGCAAATGGAGAAAGACATAGTCACCACCTAAGTTAGAATAAAACCAGGAGAGCCTCCTGCCCCAGTGCTTGCCTGCCTGGTTTCAGTTCTAGTGCACTTTTTTTTTTTAACAAAAAGAAATTGCCTTGCTGAGCTACTTTTGCTTTGTGTGTTCCTTTGTGTAATACTGAAATTATCTTAGGTTTGTTTCTGATACTGGTAACTAAACATAAAACTTGTACCAACATTTTCATGAACTCGGACCTTTTCATTACATATTACTTATAATACTGTTTTGTAAGTAGCTCTTTTAAAAATTGCCTGAGATATTTAAGGTACATAGAGGATGAACCTTAGAAGTGATATATATGATATTTGTAATAATACAGCGTGAAGGTGGGGCCTTTGGTGGGTCCCAGTGGCAGGTGAGGGACAAACAGCTGGTGTGGGACAGACAAGAGACTTGAGTCCTAATTTATGTGGAAAGTTTATTGGGAGAAGGTAGGGGAGTAAGAGAAGGGAAGAGAGCAGAGAGAAAGAGAGAGAAAGAGACAGAGACAGAGAGACAGACAGCCACCTCCTCAGAGAAACAGCAAAGACAGAGAGAACGTGGGTGAAGCTTGCCTCTTAAGGGATCTTCACACCTGCGTACAGAGGCAGGACACTGCTTACCATTTACAGAGGTGGCACACTCTTCCAGGAAGGGCCCCAAGTAGTGGGGCCAGGTTTGCCTGGATTACAGCAATATTAAAGTCTCAAAGGTATGCAAATTACAAAGTAACTGGGAAGTAGTGGCATATGCCTTTAACCCCAGTACTTGAGAGACAGAGGCAGGTAGATCTCTGTGAGTTGGGCGTAAAGATCTTATTGGCCCTTGGTATCCATACAGATGACTCCTTCGGTGAAAATGAATTGTCCTTCAAGCGCTGCACTGAATACTAAAAAGGTCAAAATGAAGCATGACTCTCACACCCATGGGAATAAGAAATAGTTCATTCTGAGCCAAATATGAATGTCCATGGCCTGGGAAACAGACTTAGGTTACACTGAGCAACAGATTCCACAAGAGAGTTCCGCATGAGATTTTTTTGCAGAACAATGAAAGTCACATATCAAAGTAATTACCAATACAGTTGTGGGGACCACAGTTAGTAATACAGCATCGCAGCTGGGGGCTCTGCAATAGATTTCAGA